CTAAGGAATGAAAGAAAAAAATAAAATAAGAATAAGAAACTCAAATAATGATAATCAAAAAGTCAAAAAAATAATTATATCCGAAAAAAATTAAAATATACCTTGAAATTTGCTAGAAAAATCATATATACCCCTAAATAATTTTTTTTTTAAATCAAAAGTCAAAAATATAACTTTAAAACTATTTTTTCACTTCAGTTAAATGAAGGGTATATGTGAGCTCATTTTGTAACGGTAGGGGTATATGTGAGCCGTTTGTATAACGGTAAGGGTATATATGAGCCACTTTCATAACGAGGGGCATATCAGCTCCAAATAGCAAAGTTGAGGGGTATATCAGGCCCTTTTCCCTTATTTTTATTTTTCTTACAACAACCATTGACACCCATTCATCAAATGACATATAAAAAATTGGCTCTGGAGAAAATCATTCAGTTATAATGAAATGTCGTTATGATAAATGATGAGCAACTTTCACATATAACAAACACAAAATTCATATTTGTATGTTATAGCAAAGTTTGCATAATTGCGCTCCATAGAAAACATATATATGTATAATTTGCTATACATATACAAAAAAAGCAGTTGTATAATTCGTTATACATATACAAAGAAAGCAGTTAGTATACAAAAGATCAATTGTATAATTTGTGTATGTATAAAGTGAGAAAGAGAGAAAGGCAAAAAAAAACTGGGCAGAAAAATATTTGTATTGTATAATTATAAGTGTATAGGACGAAAATATATGTATTTGTATTTGTATATATAATTTTCTGAGAGTGGCGAAAATAGCAATAGTTTGCTATATGGTACAATTAAATCAAAGTGTATTTATAACATTTAATTTGAATTAATAGTTTGCTATTATATACAATTTTCCCATAAATAATTGATATATCGATGTTAAATATAATTACAAATGTAATGTTTGATTGCACAAGGTAATTACATAGTCAAATCAAAAGTGCTCATTTATAAAAACTTAAAAGGACTAAAATAACTCAGATGATATTTAAAGGGGCCATTTTAAATTTATTACCAAAGATAAGGACCATTTTTGTCATTTTCTCTCTCAACTTCTAATGATTATGTGGCAAGTGTTAGGTGGTCCTTACTACATTAGTACATTATATTCACATTGGACTAGTCATGGTCCAGCTTTTGTGGGCCAATAGCTATTTAAAAAATTATTTTGTATTAACTTCAAGTAGTTTATGAATAATTATGTAAGCTTTATTTTATAATTGAAGCTGAAGTTCGATTTGACAATATTAAGAAATATATATTGAGCATACTCTATGAAGCAATAATTCAATTCATGTGAGACGTTATGACAATTGCTATGTTCAAGGTTTGGTATTTAGAATAAAACGGATGGTCCAACTCTATTAAGTATTAATATATATATATCATGTGAAGAAATTGAAATTCGAACCTAATTAAACTCTCGAACTAACTAATTCATACGATGAAGATTGTTTAAAATCTTATTAGAAGACAATAACACATTGAAGGTATTGGATAGTAAAACCAAATAAAGGAACAATTCATCGGTAGGGTATACTTTAAGCGACACCAATTTCCTCTCTAGTAGTCTATCTACCGGAAAACTTATCTATGGATTAAAAAAAATGCATGAAGAAATCAATATCTAACAATGTGGACAATCAGTGGCAGAGCCACGTGTACTTGAGGGTGTCAATCGATTATTCTTTCGTTGAAAAATTATATTGTGTAGTTAGGTAAAGATATATTTTTTTTATTTTTTTTATTACATGTATACTGATACCCCTTAACTTCTTAGTGAATTTAGTACTTCTTTATATTTTGACATTTCTTAATAAAAATTATAGTAGCTCCATCGTTGTGAACAATGTAATACATATAAAAGTATAATTCTATATGCTCCTTGTATTTTGGCTCATTATTCTTTTTGAAATGTAGTTTCCATTTTATAACTATTGTGGCATAATACTTGTAATACTATAGTCCAAAATTGTACTAGTATAATATTTTTATGGTGGTGAGTGTGTTTGGTTAAAGAGGTAAATGCATGATTGGTTAATGAGGATAACTTGTCTTCTTTTTCTTGTTTTCTTGTATTCTTTTTCTTGTTTTAGTCCCCTTGATGTGACTATAGGTATTCAAATCATGTGATTCAGAGGGTGTTTTGATCGGCTTAAAAGTAGATCAAATCTACTTTTAGTCAGATTTTTACTTCTGGAAGTGTTTGACAAATATAAACAATAACTTAAAATAAGTTAAGAAGTCTTTGGCAAAACAAAAAAATACTTAAATTAAGTTTAAAATGACTTGAGAAGTGTTTCATACAAATTCTTATTCTAGTTCATTTATCCTAGTTACCCGTTCTAATTCCGTATCAAGATCATGACTAATGTTTTCACTAACCTCAAAACCATCACTAGTCAATTCTAGTGTATGTTGAGCATACTCAATCTTATTAAAGTAAATTTATAAGATATAATTAGTATCGTGTATAGTCTAGGATTATATAAAGAAATATATAATTCAATTCATATGAGACATTATGGCAATCTCTACGCTCAGGATTATGTTGGATATTAAGAACAAAAATGATGGTTCGACTATATTAACATATATATCATGAGAAGAAATTGAAATTTAGACATAATATAAACTCTAAAACTAATTCATGAGATGAAGATTGTTTAAAATCTTATAAAAGATAGCAACATAAACACATTTTTGACACATCGAAAGTATTAAAGATAAACAAAGAAATAATTAATTGAAAAAATATACTTAAGGGGCACCAATTTTCCCTCACAATGCTCTAGCTATAGGAAATCGATCAATGGATTAAAAAAAAAAATGGATGAAGGAAGAAATCAAAATCTAACAATGTGGACAATGAAATACACATAAAAATATCGAATATACTTCATGTCCCTTGTAATTTGGCCCATTATTCTTTTTGAAATATAGTTTCTATTTTATAACTATTGTGGAATAATCCAAGTAATACTATATTCCAAAACTGTACTAGTATAACAATATTTTATGGTGGTGAATGTGTTTGGTTAGAGATATAAAAGCATGATTGGTTAATGTGGATAACTTGTCTTCTTTTTCTTGTTTTAGCCTTGATGTGACTATTAGGGATTCAAATCATGTGATTCAGTTTGGCTTGTTTGGTCGAGGAATAAGTTATTTCACTTTCATTGTGTGATAAAAATAATATTATAATTCCTGGATAATTAATTTTTAAATAAAATTTTATAATTTATTCTAATCAAATATATATAAAATAAATTCATTATATAATTAATTTCAGAATTAGTTATCATTTATCCCTCGTGTCAAACGAATACTTTGCTAGCAAAAAGATGCATACCATAAATTAAGTATATATGTCATTTGTGCCACAATATTGAAAAATTGAATCAAACACATCATTTGTGGACTTTTTTCCCCTTAAAAAGCTTATTTTAAACAACATAATTTTTCAAACATTATATTCCTCGATTTCTCATCAATCTTCTCATCTAGAATCTATAAGAAATCAAGTGCTCACTTATGTTCTTTAATTTATACATAAACTATCATTTATAAAAATATTCTAAAATATTGGGGTTGGAGTATTATAGTGAGAAAAACATTGAATGAGGTCAAAGTTGAAGCCAAAGTGTTTTCTTCCATCCTAACTACTCCCTCTGTTCCTAATTATTTGTTCACTTTTTTTTTTAATTGTCCTTGATTACTTGTCCATTTTGACAAATCAAGAAAAGACAACTTTTTTTTTTACCTATTATACCTTCAATTAATTACTTTGAAAAAGGTAGAACTTGTTGAAAATCGTAAGTTTTTAATGCATCTACTTCATAATTAATAGGGGTAAAATGGTAAACTCACTATGTCAATAATTGTTTTCTTAATAATAGGTGCATCAATTCAAAAGTGGACAAATAATTAGGAACACGGTGAGTATATATTACGAAAGTCAACAAACTTGTGTTTTTCTTCTTAGAAATTCTTGTCTCTTTCACACTTGTTTCTTATCTTTCAATCAGAACAAACCACTTAGGGGTCGTTTGGTAGGGAGTACTAGAAGAAATAGTCCAAGTATTATGTGTGGTATTATTTAGTACTATGTTTGATAGAAAATTTTGGGGTCTATGTATAATCAATCCATGGATTAGTTATGCATCCTACATGGAATTATAGGGTGTATAACTAATACCTTCCATTTGGTGGTATTAGTTCTAATACCATGGGACTAATCTATGTAAACACAAAAATACCCCCTCAAATCCTTTTAATCATTTTGTTTATTTTCTTGATTTTATGTTTTATATTTATACTAATAAATTTATTTAAATAAATTAGCTTACAAATTTTATTATTTAGATATAATTTTTGTTTCTAAAATATGAGTTATTTAATCTATTTATTATTAATATAAAATATTATAATCCGACTAATATGCTAATGCTGATGTATGAATTTAAGAACAATTCATAAGTCAAATATTGCCTCTTAGCGGAAGTCCATTGAACATTACACAAGTAGTCTAAAACAAGAGCATAAATATATATATATAAACATCTCGAGTATAAAAATAGTTTAATTTATTTTGCTATATTTATTTATTTATTTAATTTAATTTTATGATAAAGAGTTTTTTTTAAAATTTATTGATACAAAACAAAGTTCAATAAATTTTCTCTATAAATTATTATAGTTGTGTGACCTTTTGAGATATTAACTCCAATTTATTAAGATGACAATTATTTACTCTCAAATAATTTAAGTGAGAAAATAGTGAACATGACAATAACATTTTTATTCTCCAGCTAGTTAAAATGCTATAAAAAAGTAATATTGTCCGTCAATTATCTACCTTGACCCAATTACATGAAATAGAAAATCCAATAATAACTCAAGGGTATAATTGGAAAGAATTTTTTTGTAGAGTTTTAAACCACACACAAAACTAGGTAAGAAACAATGAACCAAACACTTGATAAAAATAATCCCTGCATTTACTAATCCATGCATTACCAATCGCTACATTACTAATCCCTGCATTATTGATCTTTATACCAAACGTCCCCTTAGTGTTACTGTATTAAGAAACTATATAATTCAAATGTATCCTTGGCCTCATGTATAATTTAGCTTGGGAAAAACTTCATTCGAGAGATCTGATTCAGCAAAAAAAGGATAATAACTAGTTTTTGGGGTTAAGTTAAACCCAAAATTCATTTCTTTGTGATAACATGTGCTACACTAACATTAATACATAGAAATTAACTAGATAGAGACTTGCATTTTTTCTTGTAGTCAATTATAGTATACTTTGCTTTGTTTCAAGAAAGACAAATCCTCATCATATACCTCATTTCCTATACTTTGATATATGTGAAAGAGATTGGAAAGGGACTTTTAAATGAGATGAAAGTTACTGTTTAAACAAAACAAGCATGAGCCCAGTCTAGCCAGCCCATCAGCCCCATGGGAAACCTGAAAAAATTACTAAAACTTACTAATTTGAATCATTTAAATCAACAATCAATGTGTGTTGTGGATACATGAGAAGGGGAAAAACATAGTCAAACACACAGCTCTCTCTCTCTCTCTATATATATATTATATTGAAATGTTGTTTTCAGATTAATAACAACTCTCTCTTCAATACTTGCAGTAATAAAAATTAAGTCATATACATGAATGATAATGTTTTTAGGTTGGTTATAAGTATATATATACCCCACTGTAAAAACGTATCAATAAAATTTGTGGCCTAAAATCAAATCTTAGTAAAAATATTTTTTTATTCTAGTGACATTAAACTAAAGGTACGTGTGACATACTACAAGTAATATTCTTTGTATCTTAGCAAGTGTGTGTACGTTGACTGTTTCCTATAGACCCTCGTCTCAAGTAAATTATTTTCCAACATATTACTGGTTTCTCTATATATAAATAACTCAATTCCATTCTAGATTCCTCTCACACTCCACCTTATAAAATATAGTAAAAACCAAGCAAGAGATTGAGAAGAAAAGATGTCAACATTGAACAACCATTTGTTTGAACTCCAAGACACAATTTGCTATGTGCAATGTGGATATTGTACTACAATATTACTTGTAAAATTCAACTTTGTTTCTTTATTTATTAATTTTAGTTACTACTAAACTCATGAAATTACTTCTTAATATCATCTCTACATATTTTAATTTAAAAAATATATATTCAGGTTAGTGTGCCATGCAGCAGCTTGTGCAACAAAATAGTAACAGTGAGATGTGGGCATTGCACTACTCTCCTCTCTCTCAACTTGATTAAACCTTCTCTTCATCTCTTTGCTTCCTTCAACCAAACTCATAAGGTTAACTTCTATACACTGACAGTGTAAATTATTTTTATATTATTAAGTCACTTAAAAGATAACTATATACGATTGTCTCATCTGAAAGAAAAATAAGATAGATTACCTATTACAACATGTTAAAATTAAAATATTTATGTATACTATCCGTGTATATAAGTTAAATTCGTCTTTTTTGCTCCGATTTTAGCAGCCAAAGCCGCCAGTTGACAAGGAGGAAATTGATGATGCTAATAAGAAGAATGCAAAGTCAGAAAGCCAAATTATGACCTCATCAGATGAAGAAGATCAATTGGAGAATAATGTTCTTCCTCTTAATCAAGTCGTTAATAAACGTAAAATTTCATTCTTCGCTCCATCCTTCCTATTTTTTTTTAATTTTGTGGTATGTTGTTCCGCCAACAAAGAGCGAATAAGAATCAAAGTTCTCTATGGTGATGTCAGAATTTGTATCTATTTAGTGGTCAGGTCAACCTGCTAGTTTAATTTCTTTGATCCCACTCGATCTTCCTTTTTCTTAATTATTTATTTATTAAGTATGTTACTCCTAATAATTATAACGACATATATATATATATATATATATATCTAATTAATCATACTACTTTTTTTTTCAGCTCCAGAGAAGAGACAAAGAGCTCCATCGGCTTATAATTGCTTTATCAAGTACATTTTCAGTTTAATAATTATCCTAATTAATTATTTTAAACTCATAAATATTATAGACTAATAATTATATTATTTTATATTAAAATTATTTGCCAATATTTTATTTTTTTAAACAGAGAAGAGATCAAGAGGCTGAAGACTCTATATCCCAACATGACTCACAAGCAAGCTTTCAGTACCGCAGCAAAAAATGTAAGATATATTTTTATTAATTTACCCTTAATAAATATCTTGAAAAAGATATAGTTGTTAAATCGTTTTTTCGTTATATAAAATTTTCTTAAGTTAAATCAGGGTAAAATTGGAAGAACGTCATTAATAAGTTGTTGATTATATGAAACACCATCAAATCAAAAAAATAAAAACACCAATTATTTTAAAACTGAGTGAATAATTTCCACCCAAGATCTTATTTTCATTAACCTAGATGGAAATCTAATTTTTAAATAATTAATTGATTTTGATTTCAGTGGGCCCACTTTCCACCAAGTCAACATAGAGGAGGCTGTAGTGTTGGAGACAGGAAAATGGCAAAGGTACATCCCTAGCTAAATGAAATTGGCAATTAAAATTTTTGCATAATGATTGAAGAAACCTATGTGATAATCCATAAATGGACCAACAAAAGTACATTCATATAATAAGCTAATCCTAAAGTTAAAACAAAACAAAAAATGGCTAATAGAAATTCGAACTTTTGAACATATCAAATCAACTGCGGAATTTTTCGATAACTCTTAGTTAATCTATCGCTAAAAAGTTTGTAGCCAATTTTTTATTATTATAACATGTCGCTTAATTATGATATTAACATGAAATATTTATTGTTTAGCTACGAAATATGCATGTCCGTCGTTGTTAATTCTTTATTTTCTAGTAGTAGTGATTATTAGCACCAAAAAACATGACATGCACTCATTTACTCGGTTGGGATCTTATATTATATCATGTTATTTAACAAATAATAGTTAATCTTTACACTGTCAACGTATATAATTACGAAGTTACGACATGTTCTATGCTAAAAAGATCATTTCTTGATAAACATAATGGTATTTATGACAATGATTTTGATTGGATTGAATAGCTGCCCCAACCACCATACATATCAAAGTATTAATAATATTTCCCTTAATTGGTATCAATTTATTCATTCATATCTGTTAAAATTAAACCTTTTATATATAGGTTTCTGCTGCAAGAAACTCTATGGTCCCAAGAGATAGCAATGGTTTAATTCCTTGAAAGAAATGCTTCAAGTATGACTTCGTCTCATGAGTGAAGTGATCTCAATCATTCCGAAATCGAAAAATTGAATTATGTATTGTGTAGCTAGTAGTAGTACTGTTGGTTTCAATTTCTATTTGTGTTAAAGATGCTATTGTCAATTTATATGGTTATTGAAGTTTCTGTTTGCAACTTTTGGAAGTTTGAAAGTAGTCACATATATATAATATAAGATATAATAATAATTTATGTATTTGATGCATTATATATATGGTGTGTGAATTAATCAAATGCTATGTGATGAATCTTTTTAATTGTTTAGATTAGCTTAAATGCAACACTTTAAAGTATACCCATAAACAATTGAAAATATTTAAATATATTCCTAAATAATTAAAAATGTCCAAATATATACAAGCAAAATCAAATAAATTAGAGGCATTTCTAATTAATTCTCTTTTGCGTATAATAATATATACATTTGCGATTAATGATCAGTCATGTCACAATTATAAACGTGCAAAAAGTAAGCACGTGCCTCGACCCCGGTAAATCTTAATACATAATTAGCCTCTTAAATTAGTCGAAATATTTTATTTAAACATTCGAACTAATCATATTTCAGATGAGCATCTCAACTACCCTAATTAAGAGATTCAATCAGACATGTTCAATTCAAATTTTGAAGAAAAAATTTGTATGTGTTTTCTTTTACTCGTATATTAGATAGTTAAGTTAATCAAATAAAATATGTCAATTTCTTTAATAATATGTATCAACATTAACTGGAAAATTTCCGGGTTTACAAATTATTAAGACAAATACTTTATGTTGTTAACTCAACTACCTAAGTACTAATTAATAGGTGTCCAAGAATATTATATACAAAAAAATCATAAATTTAAATTGAAAATGTCTAATGAAAAACTTTATTAAAAATTAAAGTGTTCAATTAATGTCACACTTAATTCGAGTGTCTAAATAAAATTGGATTGGTCATGTATTATCCCTTCTTTTAATGAGTCCTAAACTCACATACATTCCTTAAAGTTCGATTTTCAGGCTCCATAACACACAAAGATTTGTTTGATTTATATTATATATTATATATTATATATTATATATTATATATTCAGAATCTAGTAAATAAAAAAGATTATGATTGAAAACGCTAAATATATTACATCCTGGCTAGAAATCTTGTTCTTCATTCTTCAATTACTGCCAATATTGTTTCCTTCTCCCAAATCTTGGTTCTCTTTGAAAGCCTAACAAATTAAAAATGTTAACATAATTAATTAATACTATATAGTTAAGTATTTCATCGTTAGTTAATGTAAAAATAAGTCATTATTTAGTGTTAATTAAACAACTCATAAATATAAATTAATTACTTAAGGAGGGTACTTGTGTTGATATATTGGTGAAATAAGCTTGAAAGAAGTCCTTGTTCTCCTTTATAAGCTCTCTCCACACTGCAAACATCAAAGTATATATATGGGTCATAATCCAACAATAAAAAAATAAAAAAATCGAAAGAAATAAATATGTTTTATTCAGAGACGAAGATAGGATTTCAACTTTTTAGGTTCTTAATTTTACATATTTAATGAATTTATTAACACAAATATATTGTATGAGCAAAATCTATTGGATTCAGTCGAACTCACATACGGACTATTAACTCTGCCTAATTATATTATTCTCTTTCAACAATATAGTATTTGTCCATAATGGTACTGTCGTACTAACTACAATAATGTTTTATTGTGATGTGTGAGGTATAAAGTATAATAATTTTAGAGATAAAATGTAGGAAAATTTTGTCTTGTGTTTGGTTAGAGGTATTAGACAATCCTGAAATTATTTATCTCACCATTTATACCTTCGTGATGGGATAAATTATCACATATACAAGGTGAAAATAACTTATCTCGAAATAATTAACCCTAAGATAACTTGTTCCCAATCAAACGATAAGTGATATATAATGACCTGTTAGTGTTACGAGTGGGCGGATTCTGGCATGTATAGCTAATGTCTTAATGCATTCATCTCTATCCATCCCAAGCACTAAACACCTCTCTATCATATTTTGTACCTGCCATAATAATATAATTATAAGCTAAGATTAGAAAAATCATGCAAAAGCGTATATTGATTATCATAATTAAAAAGTAGTGTGGATCATGTACACGGACAAAATAACTCGTTAATTCTAAAATATAATCTAAGAAATATGAGCCTATCAAACTAAAAATCTGAATTCGTCTCTGCTTTCGAAATGAACATAGCATTCAAATGTAAATATGAGGGTTGCAACACAAACAAGGAAAAGTAGTGAGGACATACATGAACAAAATAACTCGTTAATACTAAAAAAAAAATCTTTAAAATATGAACTTATCAAATTAAAATTTTAAATCCGTCTCTATCTTCGAAATAAAAAAAGAGAGAATATATATATATATATGAGAAAGGCATACCATTCTAATGTAAGTATGAGGGTTGCAACACAAACAAGGAAAATGGTAGTACTCCTGGTTTTGATGATACATATTTTAGTAACTTTTGAAGGAAATGGACAAAACAAATGAGTAGAATATTTTATTTTAGTCAAGAAGAAGAGAAAAATAGAGAAATAATAAAAACAATAATATTGTAAACAAGTAGGAAAAAAGTGCATAAATAGAAAGATATTTAGAGGGGACTATATATAAGAGAGTGTATTATATTGTTATCCACAAGGTATCTAAGTGAAGGGCCAAAATAGCATATGAAATCCAAACAACACATCAAATCTCATCTTTTAATAGATAAGAGAAAATGAATTCTAAAAAAAAAAAAAAAAAATTTGAAAGATGAAGTTTTGATTATAACAACATGTTCGTGGCTTAGGCTATTGCCACTTAAATTCAATTCATGTTAATACATATTTTCTGCTTCTTTTGGACCCATCAATTTATCTTTGCAACGGTCCCCGCATCCTCATCACCTAAATAATTGCATATGTGAATTTAGTACTATAAGTTATGTCGATGGTGAAATCAGAAATTTCATTAAGCATGTTCAAGATATTTTAATTTATATATTTCGTATAACTTTCTATATATATAATACTATAATTATTTAACAAAGGATGTTTGACTAAATAACTGGCTACTCTTCGCTACATGTGACTACGCCACGCTATAGCGTCAATATAAATATTATTTCATGTTTATATAGTCAGCTCATCCAAATTATATATTCAAATAAGCTTTCTTAAATAAAATATGAGATTTAATCTTAATAATATGACTGAATTTACTTAATGTGCATTCAAAGAATAACAAATACTAATGGGAAAAAGAAAGACTCAATACATGGACAATTCTGTAATTTGCAAGTAAATTTTATTTGTTTTTTAAATAATATATTTATGTTTGGGCATCTGAACATAAATAATCATAAATTGTACCTAGACATTTATGACTCATATTTTAGAAAAATTTATATGTTTGTTCACAATCGTTTATCACGTAGATAAACTAATCACATCTTCCGATTTTTTTTAATTTTATACTAAAGTACACCTTACAAGCATCAATTGGAAAATGCATCAGATTTTACGGCTTATTAAGGTTGTTAATATATATAATGAAAAGATGTGACATATTTTAAGTGGTTAACTTATCAATGTAATAATTATGCTTGAGAATGCGTGTAAAAGTTTCTTTTAAAAATAATAATAATTAAGTCTCTAATAGGCAGTGGCGAATCCAGAAATTATATATTATGGTGCTCAACATTTTTAGCTCAAAAATTACTACTTAAAATGGGTGCTGAATTAATACATTTCAATGAAATACTAATTTTTTATACATAAAATATTACTGTTTGTCACAAAAGGCAGTGGGTGCTTAAGCACCCATTATGCACAAGGTAGATCCGCCACTACTAATAGGAATACTTTATTATATATTAAGATGGTCGATCAGAATATATCATAATTCGATTGTCTAAATAAAACTGACAAATATAAAGGGTTATCGCTAATAAACTTTATCATATTTGCTGGTTATAAGGATTTTTTGTTTAACGACCTTAATTATCGGGCATTGCATGTAAGTTAGTGGTAATTAAGTTTATATTTTCAAATTCCATAATCAATTATTAGCTCTCTGCCACCCTTAATTTCCTCAAATTATTTTTTCCTTCATAATATTCATCAATGTTGTTGCAACAACAACAAACACATTAATTAGCTTTAATTTATTGTTGCAACAACAATAGCCTTTGGATTATTTTCCATCTTGTAGCTAGGAATCAAAATAAGAAATTAAGAAAACAATATTTCTTCATCCCAAATTGTTCTTTTAATTAATTATTTTCGAGAACCAAATTTGAATTTATTCATTTAAAAAAAATGGAAGCATCAAGGATTCCTTCAAATCCATCATATGAAAGATTACCAACGTCGTTCTACACTTCAACCCCAGCAGAGACAAATAACGCTAATTGGGCAGACCCAAATAATTCATCGGAATTCGAACACCTAAGTTCATCGCAAAAAATTGGATCCCTCATGTTTGTTGGTACCATGGTCTTTGTTCTCATGGTAGGCCTTTTTGCCATGATAGATTTTAGCATGTCAAGAACCGTTAATTACTCGAACTCACAAATCATCGGTATGCATGGAGTCCATTTACAATCAATGTCCATTTCCAATTTACAATCCACGATAAATTCAACGTTCGTAGCAGGATGTAATGTCATGTTCAACATCACAAACAAACGTGACATTGAATATTTTTACGATAAGGGTGTGATTTGGGTAATTTTCGATGAGAAAATCATGTGGACGTTACAAACGAACGAATTTTATCAAGCGATAGGAGAGACAACATTGGTTAATGCATCGGCAAGTCCTGCAAAATTAGAGACAGATTTATATGTACCAAGAGCACTTGCAAGTGATAGAAAATTACATGAATGGGAAATGTTTAAGGTGAGATTTGATATATATTATAGAGGTGGTGTAGGAAGAAATGGATTTAATTTGGGTGGATTAAAGTATGATTGTGATGTTAATATGACTTTTGTTGATG